GTCCTTATTTTCGGGCTGCTGTTGTGATCCCTTTTCCGGTTGCTTCTGGTCCTTCGCATTTGTGCTATCCCTAAACATACGGATCAGGTCGTCGTGTGAGGGGTTCTTGGAGGCTTTGCCGGCTTCGAGCGCTTGCTCAGTCGTGTTGTTCCATAACCAGCGAGTCAACCTGATACGATCCATCAAGGTTGGTGTCTGACTCGGGTCGATCCACGGCTTAACTTCAGGCGGAACTCCATTCTTCGTCATCATATCTCGAAGATGGGTGCGGTGCTCAGGCGATGAGTTGACGAAATCGAGAAAGTCATTCACCTGCTTCTCTTCAGCCTCGGTGAGGCGGGAAGCAGGCTTGGAGCCATTGTCTCCCCGTGTGTTGTTCCGGTTCTTGTCATCTGGGGTCGGACCACCGGGGCTTTGCGTGGAGTAGGTTCTGGTGCGGCTCGATAGGATAACGGAGGATAGTCTTGGCGGTTGCACACGCAAGGATGCGTATCCTGTGCGACTAGTGTATTCTGTGGCTTTCCTCGAGAAGCGAGCGAAATTGCCTGGCCGTCGGAGTAAAGCGGCCATAGTCGAGGGGAGGGAGCCCCGAGGGCTGCGAGGGCGGGGGTAAAGGGTAATCAATCGAATTTAGAATCGATGGATGGGTTCACAATCCATCAAAATTAGGAGGTGGAGCAGGAATTGAGCTGGGGGTTTTGAAGCTCTGGAGCAGGTCCGAGGTGACGCCTCTGAGGTTCCAGCTTCGGCTCCAAATTTTCGCCGATCCGGCTGAGTCATGCGTTATTGGAAGCACATGGAATTTAGCTTAACCCCGAGTTAACGGCGAACTATGGAGGTAATTATATGAATTTTGAGGATTTAAGATATTAGTCGATTGGAGACCTTTCTGTACAAATTCTTTAGGAAAGTCCACCCTTGCGCCATTCGCTGCGTAATGGAAACCATCATAGATATAGATTCAAAACAAGGTGCGTTTCAGTATACATGAAGGGGAGAGATATTGAGGGGAGATAACACCGTGAGTAAGTAATGATACCACTTTCATGAACTCCGTACAAGTATATTAATAATCACTGGGTCATCACTGTCCCAGTGGGGGACCACCAGGGCCAACACCCGCTTCGAAGGGAGGGAAGTTTGTCGACATGTCAGCCCAATCCCACTCAATTGTCATAGGCATCTGCCAGAGATCCTGTGGGACAAATGGCTGTTGGAATTGCGCCACGCCTGGGCTAGCAGTGCCAAATGAAGGTTGATCCGAGAACCCCACACCACCCATTTGATCAGGACTTAATATGTCTGAGAACTCTTGGCCCATGACCGGCATGGAATGAATATTGCTCGGAAGGTCGGGGGAGATGCCACTTGTTGGCATTGGGGCCCCGGGATATGGTTTAGATCCACCGGGCGAGGGAGCCATAGGCTTAGTGAACACAGAGGGCGAGAAACCCGCGGAGTTGGATGCACCTTGTGTGCGTTTGGCAGACGGCGAAGTTGCGGACTGTTCCTCAGACTCGTCCTGTCCCGCGTAATCTTCTGGTGCATTCTTGCGTTTTTTTCTCGATTGAGACTCTTTTTCGGATTTGTCTAGGACCACCTTGGCAATTCTCTCAAACTCACCACACAGACCGAGCATACGCTTGATGCTCCCGTTGGATTCGTCGGAGACCAATGTAGACAAGAAGTTGACAACCACGTTCATTAATTTAACGTCGGATCGAGCACGAGCATCAGTAGGGTTCTGGAGGATATTGGCGAAAAGAGTAACAAGCGCAGAAACAGGGTAGTAAAGAATCAGCCTGAAAGCATGGTTAGCACACAGTTGATGGGCATTGTTGGGTCGGCACCTACCAAACACAGGCGAAATCCCCTTGTGGGATATACTTGATCAAATTAATCGATGCTCTGGCAGCCGTGACGCACAACACAGCCGAGAGGAAAACCCTTGGGTTCAAGGGTCGTGCATTCAATCCTTGGATAGCGTAGTTGGATAGACGGCTGGTCCAATACCCGTGATGTACTGACATCCGGTGGATTGTGGTCAGACAATTGTAGTAGGCGAAGTGGAGAACAACGATGTGAAGGATGAGAGGAGTATGTGTTGCTAGAATTTCATTTTCGGGTCGGAAGTCGATAGGGATGCTGTCTTTCCAGTCTTCTAGCTCTTTGTCGAGATCGCCAATGGTATTGAGTAATTCACCGTCGGATTGCTTCGATGCTTTGGCGGAATAAAGTCGCTTATATACTCTGCTTTCGATGGTTGCAAACTCACACATTGACCGGAATAGGTTGAATTTGCTTCTACCATCAGAAAGAGGCACATTTCCGACATTGTCTGGTGGGTCTTCGCTCGGCAGGTCGACATTCATGTCATCGTCGTCTTGCACTGGTGGTCTACCAGAGCGCAGACAGATGCTAAGCAGATGTTAGTATATATAGAATAACGGTTGCACAAACGTCTTACTCTTTGTCAAGGAGGTAGGCAATCCAGAACACTCTCTTCCGTTGCTCAACCTCGACTGGGTTGAGACCAAAACCAGAGCCACGTTTATGCAGACCAATACTGTGGGAAAGGCGAATGGCTGCAGCAACTAGGAAGAAAGCAGGCTGTGGGTTAGGAGTGCCTTGAAGGAAGAGTGACTAGAAACGAATTAGACAAGAACATGTCCCGAAACCAGGCTAATTAACTTACCATGCCCAACAGCGCCTGCACGCTGAGTAAATCGGTGTTGCGCATTGTGAGCTCAGTCAACACTCCCATGGCATTCTTCAAGTACAACCACGCCTTTTTATCTTCTTCGTGTGGCACAAGGTGGCTCATGACACGAAGACGATGAGAAATTGCCAGAACAACATTGATGCTCGCCCACCAACCTGAGCCCTCGTAAGGATCACGCGAGTATTGCCGCTCCACCAAGTGCATAAATGTCGCTTCGTGGAACAGCGGGAACATGCAGTTGAAGTTCTCGAAGAAGTCCTTGAACAGTGAAAGAGCTTCATCTTTTGGTGGGAGAGGCTTGAAGACACGTCTTGCGAAGATGTCGCTAAAGATTTCGGGTTTCCAGTACATCCACTTGTTGTCGTCGACGTACGCTGATGAGATCATGTCCTGGAAAGAAGTATCGCCGGTCTTCTCGTTGACCCATTGGATACCCTTCGGAGAGAATATAGAGAAACCTGATGAAGATCCTGTGACACATCACATCAATATACCGCCCTCAAACCTCGACCGTGGGGTATAAACGTACCAATATAGCGAGTCTCTCCGCAGTTGTTCGTTACCAACGAACACATCATATCCGACAATGCTTCGACTTCGGTTTCTGACTTCGGCGAATCGGGAGATGTGGCGGCCGTCTGCGGGCTAGAGTGGGAATCCATACGAGGCGTAGTTTGGTGGGAACCCGGACCCTGCTGTGGTGCTGCTTGGGGCGCTTGAGTTACTTGAGCCATGAACTTGTTCGAACTCTTCGCCGCATTCAAAGCATTCGTCCGATCGGCCAGTCGTTTCTCTAGCGTTCCGAGATCCGTCTTGCCGCCATCTTCTTCTGACAGAAGACCCGACAAGCGCAATAGTGACTCCATGCGGCCAAGTCGGTTTTCTAGACCTTCGATGTATTTGGCTCTGCCAGGGTCAGACTCGGTTCGTTCTATACGGATCTGTATACATACCCTTTGGGTGGATTCCGCTTCTTCTCGACTTGTGTGAAAATGCACTCCGTCTTGTAGTTGATGCAGTGGGAGCACTTGGGCATTTTTCCGTCGCATTTGATCTTCTTCTTTCGGCACATATCGCATGCCTGTATCCATTCCTTCATCAGCTATGTTCTCAATACCCCATAAACAGGTCCGGTCCTCACCCTCGCGATCCTCCGTCTTTTCGCGTCATTGGTTTCATCCCCCGCGGTCAATGACGAATCATCGGGGAACATCGACCCCGCGCCCTGCATCTGAGAATGGTCGTAGCCACCGAAGAGCTGTTGCTGCTGATTTGGCAGCATCTGCTTCATGTCGAAGCCCATGCCGTCGCCTTCTCCCAGGCCATCCATTTTGTGTGTGAGGGGCAATGGAAACTCCGCGGAGTGGAGGCGGCAGCGGTGTTAAGTGAACGGGTGATATTTCGGAGTGCGCTTGTGTCTCGAGTAGCTTATACGGTGAAAGAGGGAAGCTCTGGAATTATGGAAGCGAAGGGCGCATTCAGAGGCGTCAGAGTCTTTTGCTCTCAATGAAACGTTGAAACTTTAGGTAAGAAATGACTCAACCACACGTGGGACAGCCGAACACGAGAATCTGTGAATATGTAAGAGATCAAAGGCCCAAGATCAGAGATCTCTGGTTGCCAGAAGGTTTAGTGGCATCATAGACGGGTGTCCTAAAATCCGATCGCCGAGCCGTTCACTGGCGGTCCATTTCGTCCGAACCGGACAGGGGCTTTCGTACTCGCTTTGGACGCCGATCAATGCAGTTTAGTTACTTCTATTGGCGTATGCTGTGCATACTCTACAGTGCGTGCTTCGGATTTTGGGCTTAGACTGTATTCGCGGGGTAGGACTCCGTCTCCGTCAACGAAGCAATGCAGCCCTAGAAACCGGGGACCTACGCTTCCTACATGTACAGGATGGGATGTGACATCGCTCGTCTATCCCCCGTGCCTGTGCCCAACCAGCAGGGATCGACAGTCTGGCGGAGAGGCGCATGGTAAGTGATGCCGGCGAAACCCGGTTCCCAGATCAGGATGGATGGTAGATAAAAGTACATTCAACGAAGAGTGGCGATCTCGTGAGGATATGTAAAACAAAGTGCATATAATACAACAAGGTCACAGGAGCAGATATCACAGGAGCAGATATGACCCTGCGACCTTGTAAATGCCAAAACCAACGCCACGCTATGCGCCCAAAAGATAGCCCATTGTCGAGACCGAACGATCGAGACCAAAATTCACGTTTCCTTCATCGGCAGGGCTGATTATCGAGGAAAGGCCATATATGAGAGTCTCAAGTGTGTTTGTCGAGGAATTCCTTCGCTTCGTTGATCTTGGTGGCCAAGTATGGGCTGCCGCCGCGATCGGGGTGGTTGAGCAGCATGAGTTGGCGGTGGTTCTTGCGCACCTTGTCCTTGGTCAAGGTTCGTTCACTTGTATCCAGTCAGTTGTGATGCATTATGAGTCGATAGGGTCTTGGGGACATACGCAAGTTGGAGAATCAGGGAGGCTTCCCGACGGGTCATGCGCTGCTCGAATCCTCTGTTCACGCCATTAGCCGATATCCAATATACCATTTCCGAAATGGATTGTCCACGAACCCCTTGTAGAATGCCTTTCCGGCAGCGTTGACACCTGCGCTGGAGCGGCGGTAGGCGACCAGACCGGCACGGCCCTGTAAACATGTCAGTTTAATAATGCCGAAACGTGGTCTGTTGTACTCACCAGAAAAGCCGCGACGCCAACACCAAGACCAACAGTCAGAACAGAGGCCATTATGTAGATTGATGGAGATGAAGGTGAGTCGATGTTTGGACGGGGAAAGGTGAAGGCGCCGCGGGATAGAAAAGTCAGCGCTCGATGCCCAAAAGGGTTTAGCGTGGTCTGCTCCACCATTCAGGCCCAGCTTCAAAAAAAGTTTCTTGCGACTCAACAAAGTCATAACCAACACCATCCACAGCCATGCGGTACGTTTTATCTCCGATTTTCTAGTGGAATCCTACTAATGCTCTTGTTTCCAGTGTTGAAACCTGCCACTTCTGTTCCCGCCCGGCTTTCCCAAGCAAAGGCATCACATTCGTCCGCAACGATGCCCGACAATTCCGTTTCTGTCGGTCCAAGTGCCACAAGAACTTCAAGATGAAGCGCCAGCCCCGCAAGCTGAAGTGGACCAAGACTCACCGTGCCGCCCGCGGAAAGGAGATGATCGTGGACTCGTCGCTGGTCCTCTCACAGTTCGCCAAGAAGAGAAATGTCCCCGTCAAGTACGACCGCAACCTGGTGGCCGCCACCATTACCGCCATGGAGAGAGTGGAGGAGATCAGAGCCCGCCGCGAGCGTGTCTTCACGAAACGCCGTCTGGCCGGCAAGCTCGCCCGCGACCGCAAGCGCGAGGACGACCGCAAGGTCGTTGCCACTGGCGAGCACCTCATCCGCAAGGAACTCCGCGAGCGCGAGGAGGGCCAGCCCATGGTGGCCGAGCAGAGCAAGACCGCCAACAGAGTCCACGGCGAGGAGAGACTCCGCCAAAAGAAGAAGGGCAAGCTCTTGGTGGATGGTGGAGTCGAGGAGGAGATGGATATCGACTAAATCTGGTCTCGGGCATTTACTCTTTTTTTCCTTTTGTTTTCATGCTTCTTCAGATACGACACGGTTCCTGCAACTTGCAGATTTTCGGAGTTGGGCATGCTTTCATGGTGTTTTAAAAGCAATCAATGTTTTTCATCATATCTCATATCCAGTGGGCTGTTAGCTTCTTGTGGCTAACGAAATGTTTTTTGCAATTACCCAAAATGTTACATAGAATTTTGCTAGTCAGTACAGTGACTAGACTGGTCACGACTACAATGAGATCTTTGAAGAATGAATAAGAAATTGTAATCATAATTCAGGGGACTGATATAGACACCCAGACTTTCAATAGATTCCGCCAGACGTACAACTGTTGCACTAACCTCTCATCATTACCATTTCCCCCAGCTCGACGGCCGATTTTCGACCCTCTATATCTCTACAAGTTTATATACAACCATGGTTTTTTTTGCAAAAAACATTCTTTTCTTTATATTAACCCTAGGAACTAAAACCTATATACTAGAATTTTCTCAATCAAGCTACTCAACCAAAAACTCTGAAATCATTCTTTTTCTCCCCCACTTCCAAGCTTTGAAATTGTTGTATTTTGGCATTTAATGTTGGAAAATAGCGAGTGTAGGAAGATTACTGCTACGGTATGTATTTCTGCCACTGACGTTTCGTTTACGAGTGGATTTAAGGACCCGTGAAAAGAACGCCGAAAATGACCACTTCGAGGCCAGGAAAACACCTTGGGACGGCGGCTCGTTGACTTGCACCCAGCACCTATGCCCGTACCTCCGGCTGAGGCTGATATGCACTAGTATCTCGGTCTTATTATTTGCGAGGAAATTCGAGCCAAACTAGAACATTTCCGCAGTCCTCTAACTTCTACTCCAAAAACCGAGCTAAGAAACACTAGTATGAATGTGGGTGGACATGAAATAACATTGTTCTTGATAAAGTACCAACATCCTGCCCAAATATTAATAAAATCCCAGCATTGTAGATACAAGTTCCCAAAATAAGCCGCGCCTGATCAGCGCACCAGCACTGCCTCTGGCCGTTGATTTATGAAATAAAGTGGTAGTACAATTCAACACACCTTTCATCGCCCGCGCAGACAAAGTTGCTCAAGCAGCCGGAACAGACACATTGTCCTTCTTGATCGTCCTCCACTCCATCGTTAGCGCCGGGATGATCATCAAGCAAGAAACCGCCACACCAACGATGAATGACCGGTGGAGACCATCATTGTACACAATCAGAACCTCAGTCAGTTTGTCAGCCGGTACTGCATCGACGAGGCCCGTCGCGCCGGCTGCTAGAACCTTAGCCGAATCGATCCCCTGGATATAGGGCAATTCTGCGCCGAGGTAATTCTGGAAGAGCGACTGAGCTACAGCGATAAAGACCGCACCGCCGAGCGACTGAGCAAAGAACATGAGCGAGACACCAATAGCGACCTCTTCCATAGGGAGGATAGTTTGCGCTGCTAGAGACGGCTGCTGCAGTCCAGTGCCGATGCCGAAACCAAATAGCACCTGATATCCAATCCAGGCAGCGTGGTTGGTATCTAACTTAAAGGTCGTCATCAACCCTGCGCCGGTCGACATGAGAACCGCCGCGACGAACATCCACGGAACATAGTATCCCGTCGCGGTAATGATACCACCGGAGAGGATGGCTCCAACAACAAGCGCGAGCACCATAGGGATCGTGTCGATGCCAGATTTCACAGCAGTGGTGCCGCGTACACCCTGGAACCACAGCGGTAGGGTGTATAGCATAGAGATGAGGCCACCGCCGACACACATAGCGAAGACGACTCCACTAATAATGCTGCGCTGGTTGAAGATGTGCGGAGGCACGGTTGCATCCGTCTTGAGCCAGATCTGCACGGCGACAAAGGCAATCATGAGGATCCCTGAAATCACGAATAACGCGATGATGCGTCCGTTCGCCCATGGGTAGGTCGTGCCTCCCCATTGTAGGGCAAGCAGGAAGCAGATCACTGAAGGGAGAAACAGTATGCTGCCTAGTGGGTCCAGGCGGAGGATCTGCCGCTTCCATGTGTAGGTGGATGTATGGGGTGGGGGTGGGACCGCTAGGAACAGGAATAGGACCAAGAGGGTGAAACCGCCAATTGGAAGATTGATGTAGAAGCACCAGCGCCATGTAACCTTGTCTGTGAACGCACCGCCGAGCAAGGGTCCGATAACTGATGACAAGCCGAATGTTGAGCCCATTAGTCCGACGTAGATAGGCCGTTTAGCTAGCGGCACGATCTGTGCGACGATCACCGTCGCGCCAGAGAAGATACCTGCTGAACCAATACCTGCTATTGCACGTCCCACAATGAAGGCATTGGAGTTGGGGGCACCGCCGCAGAGCGCCGATCCGACTTCGAAGACCAGGATCGCGACTAGGAAAACGCTCTTGGTCGAGTAGTATGTGTACACTTTGCCCCAGGATAGCTGGGTGGCACAACTTGTCAAGAGATAGGCACTGGCGTACCAGCTGATATCGTCGAGGGCATTGAATTGGTTGGCGATTCGGGGGACTGCGGTGGCAATGATAGTTCGATCCTAGTGCGAAAGAGTCGTTAGTATATTCGCGTGAATAACGGTGAATCTACGGAAGCCTTACCAAAGCAACTAGAAACATAGCAAACAGAATTGAAACGATGATAACAGCTAGCCGTATCCCAGTTGGAAACTGGCTGTCGTCTTCTTTGACCTCCTCGGGCTTCTCGTTGGCAATTGAAGCATTGTCCGGCTGGTCCAGCCGTTGCTCTTCTATTGAATGAGCCATGATCGAGAATAGTTGTGAGGGTTTGAGTGTCTTGTGATGAATTGGTAAATATAATTTGAGATGTCCAGGGAAAGGAGCAGACTATAAATACTCAATAATACACAATAAGACGCGTTGGGACGAACAGTGTCTCGGCGCCGAACCAAACGAAGAGCCTAACTCATTGCGGGACCGACGGGACCGACGGATAGCGCCGACACATTGACGGGTCCGAGGCATACATACCACCGTGACCCCCATGATCCCCGTGAGTAGACCTCACCATATACGCCCGTAAAACCCCCAGGAATGTATGCTATGCATGACTGTGAATTTTCTCGGTAGGTTTATGTCCAGGCTCGAAACCCGACTCCCGACTTTTGTCTAGGCTGGGGGGCCCGTCACATATTATAAGGCCCTTCAGCCCTTCTTCGCGCCTGTACTTTACGTATTATTAATCGTGGCAATAATTGGCATTATGCTATCTTCAGGCTCCAGAGTTACTCGCGGTCACTCATGTGGCTTCTGCCAACAGCGAAAAGTGCGCTGTGATGGCCACCGACCATGCTCAACCTGCCTGCGGAACGGACAGGAATGCATAAGACACATCGGGTCGAAATCACAGGGCCGAAAAAGTAAAGATTCTGCAGTTGCCGGAGCTGCAGATCATTTGACACGGCGACTCGAGCTCTGTGAGAGAGCACTTCAGGCCCACGGAATATCCCTCGATGACCGGGGTGAGCCCGACAAGAAGCCTTCTCTTCGTCTCACCAATAGCTCCTGGTCAGCTCCAGAAGGCCATTTAATTAGTGAGACGGCGCAGTCTCGTTACGTGGAGAAGTAAGATAGAAATTTTATCTCACTCTTTCTCTCTACTCCGAGAAGACGTCGGCTGATCTGCTTGCCTTGTGCTATTCCAGTCCCCTCTGGCAAGGCTTGACCACCGAACTTAGCAGATGCAGCAGCGTGGCAGATGAAAGCGAGAGTGAGCCGCTACAGAATGTGGATGGGGAGACGCTGCTGTTCCGCTCGTCCAGCCCAAGAGGAGTGCGCTCACTCCATCCCGAAACGCCGCAGATCTTCCAATTATGGCAGATTTTCCTGAACAATGTAAACCCTATTGTGAAGCTCCTCCACGCCCCCTCTACCCAGCAGCTGATCCTAGAAGCCGCGTCCGACCTGAATCACATCTCCAGGCCCATGGAGGCGCTGCTCTTCAGCATGCACCTATGTGCGGTAGCTTCGATGAACGATGAGACCAGCCGTCGCGTGCTGGGGGCATCCCGGTCCGACTTGATGATTAGGTTCTCGCGCGCAGCCGAGCAGGCACTGATCAATGCCAACTTCCTCCGATCGACGAACATTCTGATCCTCCAGGCATTGTCACTCTACCTGGTATGCGACTTCCTCACCCACTTGATCAAATCAAGACTGACCAGGGAATTTAGTTGGCGACCCGCCAGCGGTACGATGCGCAGACTAGGTGGCTGCTAACCGGAATTGCGAGTCGCATAGCCCGAACCATGGGCCTCCACCGCGAACGCAGCCTCGCATTGCTACCCGTCTTCGAGCGCGAGATGCGGCGCCGACTCTGGTGGCAGATTCTTCTCATGGACAGCCGCGCAGCACAGCTGTGCGGCGTAGCTGTGAATGCCTACTCGTATCATTTCTGGGACACCGAGCGTCCGCGTAACGTGAGTGACAGCGATCTGTCGCCGTCGATGCAAGAACTGCCCCGTGATCGGCCCGGCGCCACGGAGATGCTGTTCTGCGAGATCCGATTTGAGATCGGGGATTGCATGCGTAAGTTGACAGCTATAGAGCATCAGCCGGCGGTGGGTACCATGGCCGAGAGGATGGTTGCGGAAGAGCGCGCAATCGATACACTCGAGTGCCAACTGGAAGACACTTACCTGAAGGACTGCGACCCGTCGATCCCCTTCCACCAATTGGCTATGTATCTGGCACGGTCCTCAGTCTGCCAGATGCGTCTGGCAACCCGACATCCCCGTCGATGTGCGGACCTCTCGCCGGACGACAGAGACCGGCTGTTCTCTCTTGGTCTTCAGGTGCTCACATACGACAACCTGACCTATGCGAGCCACGACCTTCAGCCGTATCTCTGGCATGTCGGGATGAGTTTCCCATTTGAGGCTTTTATTCTCGTGGTGACCGAGTTGTCATCCAGGCGGGAAGGGGACCGAGTAGACCAGGCATGGGCTAAGGTCGATCAGGCGTATCACGACCACGCCGACCTGATCACGGCGTCGAAGACGAACACGCTCTTCTTCGCGTTGGGAACACTCACGCTGCGGGCATGGGAGATGCGAATGGCTTGGATGCGGCGACGCCCGATTCTTTCCCAGCCAGTTGAGCCCCAGTCGGTTGCGCGGCTTCGCGCCCTCCGAGGTGAGTCTCGGGCCCCGTCGCCTGCCCCGGTTCCGGTGGCTGGCCCGCTCATGCTTCCCCCGGCACCAGGGAACTGGATCCCTGGAGAGTCTGGCAGTTCTATGGTTGGATTTGAGAATCTGGGACCATCGGAGATGGACATTTCGCAGATTGATTGGGAGTGCTGGCAGAATTTGATACACGAGCACGTGGACTTTTTTTGATAGCGCGCAAGTGACATCTGAAGCTCAGCTACGATAACTTTCAACAATTAAATGATTTAATGAATTGTGTAATGCTGATGCTCGGGATATAAACTCTCCTGGGGTGGCCTGATGTAGGTTTCGGGCATACGATCGAGGCAATTACCTCGAGTTAATACAGCCATTCCCGAGCCCGATGTGACATCCGCATTATAAATGTATATATATCGATACTTTGGTCCACACATGGCAGTCTATACAAGTTCTTCCATACTTCCATCCAAATTGAATACACCATCACCCAAAGATGACTCAAACTGTCTTATTTACCGCTCCTACTGAGTACCGCCATGAGTCGGTTCCATTCGACCCGGCCGTAGACACTGAGAATTCACCCCCAGTCGTCGACAGCATCCGGGCCACAGACAGTACGCTGAAAGTGTACACCCGGTCATCCCCCAACTACGAGGCTCTCCGCGGGCTATACAACAAACTCATCACGGACCAGCCACTCGCCATCTGCCGACCCAAAACCATCGAACAGGTCCAGATAATTGTGCGCGCCGCCCGATCCGCCAATCCACCCGTACCCCTGGGCATCCGATGCGGCGGTCACGACGTCTACGGACGAGGCTGCACCCCAGACAGCGTCAGCATCGACATGCGCGAGCTGGACCACCAAACCTTGTCTACCGATCGCCAGTCCATCCGACTCGGTGGCGGCGTGACCTCGCGGAACCTCGTCGGCTTCTTGGACACTCACGGGCTCTGCACGGCCAACGGGACGGCGGGAAACGTTGGATGGACGGGATGGGCCGTGTGGGGCGGGTACGGCCCCTTCAACGACTATGTGGGGCTGGGAGTAGATAACATACTTGCTGCGACGTTGGTGCTCGCTGATGGATCGGTTGTCGAGGCAGATCCCGGATCGGAGCTCCTGTGGGGCGTGAGGGGTGCCGGGGGCAGTTTCGGGGTAATTGTCGATGTGACTGTTCGTGTATATCCCATGCCCGTTATCCTAGCAGGCTTTATCGCGTACCAGTGGGAGGAGAGCGATAAGGTGCTCTCGGGTCTACAGGATATGCTGGATCAGGGCATTCCCGATGCAATGTGTCTGCAGATGGGCTTTATGAAGACCAAATGGGGGGTGGGTATGAGTCTAATCTTTGCATGGCCCGATTCGGAGTCCCTCGAGGAGGGGCGGACATGGCTCGAGGCCGTGAGGAAGCTAGGCGCTATCCAGGTGGATACTGTTGCAGAAAGTAAGTACCAAGATTTTTATTTTTATTCGCCATATGCGACTTGATCAAGTTAGATCGCTGATTTGCTTTTCAACAGCCACCTTTAAGGCCTTCCAAGGTATCACAACCCGAGTGGTTGACGAGCCAGTCAACGTGAGCACCCGAAGCTCTTCCATTCCGCGATTCACGCCCGAGACTATAGCGCTGTTGCAAAAGTACTCCGAGGCGATCCCCGATGGTCGCCAGTACAACGTGATCGCACACATTGGACACGGTAAAAGCACACAACCGAACCCGGATTCTTCTTTTGCCACGCGCGAACCCCATGTCCTGTTTCACATCAACGCCTGCGACGAGCTAGACCGCATGGGCGAGGCAAAAGCCTGGGTCGATGGGCTAATGAGGGAACTGAATGCTACGGGCCAAGCGCTGAAGCCCGTATACGTAAGTTTTATGGGCAAGGATGAAGATCCCCGCGACAGCTTTGGTCCGAATTGGGACCGGTTGCAAACTCTGAAAAAGTCAGTGGACCCTGAGAATGTCTTTCGTTTCCCGTAGGCCAAACAAAAGGCTGCGAAGGCTTCCTCGCCTCATGCGTGCTTACTTGTTATCTTTGATGTTTCTGGAGTTTATCCGTCTCTGCTGTCTCTTGGGCCTTTTGCATGTTCAAGGGTGAGATGATTCGCATTACCCACAAAGCAGAGAAAAAGATAACGAACGCACCAAATGTACGAAGTGTACAAGATGAAGAACCTCAGCCTTGGTGCCAATATTCGGGCAGTGTTAGCCGACTGTGTAACGTGTTCCATCACCTAGTGGCGTAAATCTCGTGTTTGAATGAGACCTTATCTCTTCAGCCCAATATCAGGCCCCCAATACAATATTTAAGCTCTCAAAAACGCATAGAGTGAGAGGGTAGAACCTATTAGCCAATTACGTAAAAAACAATGTGAAAAATTGCTCTACATGCCAATTAGCACGCGGTTTCGACGCATTGTAGACTATTCTTCCCGCCTTTGAGACATTAAAAGTCGCGAAGGAACTCGCGCAAATAGCCAAAATTGACTGCTTTGGAGGAGGAATCGTTCTAAAATTGGATTATCGCATAAGGCGAGCGCGGTGCAGTTCGTATACAGGGAATGACTACTCAGTGGGGATCGAGTCCACCACGGGTACGTTGATATGCAACATTCAAGTAGGGATGGGGGCGGAACAGGGTTTGGCTTCTCGAAAGCCAGTCAGACGGGACGGGACAATCAGGGGACACCGCAAGCCAAGGACGCTCAGAGACCACTGAAGGATTGTGGACCGGGTCCAGCACTAGGTCGTATACGTGATTATGTATAGGACTTCTTGGGTTTCTTGGTTTTCTTAAAAGGGCCTAGTTGGATAGTCCTCAACACCTACATGCATGAATCTTGCTTCGCCCCCAATGTAACGATAAGCAACATTACCTCAGCTATCTGCGGGGGACCGGGGACCAAAAGGCTTTGGTATTCTCTTAGTTTGCTTAGCTTCTAAGATCCTTAGATGTCATATTAAGATTATTCATAGATCAAGATGGCATCTGCTGCTGTACCACGACTGGAAATTATTCGTGCGAGTTGTAACAATTGCGCAAAGTCCAAGGTTCGCTGCAGTAAGGATCAACCCTCATGTCAACGCTGCTTGTATCAAGGCGTCTCCTGCATCTACAGTCCCTCCCAACGGTCCCGAAAACGACCTCCGCCTACACCGACGGCAACATCTCCTCCCGCCCCAGGGAGCATATCGGCCTTGAGAGACCAGCATACACCCGATACATCCCAGGGAGGAAATGATGGACTGAACCGAGGGCAGCACATGGCCGACGTTCGCTCCACTGACAGGACCAATGCTAGCCCAATACCCGAGTCGAGTGACGAACCCTTCCCCGATGGAACTCTGTTGCCTTCCGATACATTGAGCCCAATGAAGTGGAGCGAACTGCTTGTGTCATTCGATGGCAGGGCCCTCTCCTCCAACGACGAGATCTCCAGAGTCCTGGATACATCACCAATGGCAATGCCCGATCTGCAGCCACGGATCGACGGGGACACCCTGGATACCGGTTTTCACTGGCAATTACCCCGGGACTCCGACAAACAGTTCTTCTGGCCAACACCAGCTGAACCCCATGGCCCTCATCACACCCCACACCAATGCTCCCAACTGGCCATGTCCGCCATCCAGCGGCTGGATGTGCCAATGGCATCATGCCCGTCCCTGGGACGCCTGGACTGCGATCCACAACTATCAAGAATGACAGCTAGCCCCGGAGCCCGCAGCTTCGACGACATCCTCAAGGACAGCCATTTGTCCCTGGAAGACGTTCTCACGATCTTGGAATGTCCGTGCACAGCCAAAATCGACCTCGTCTTCCTCATAACTACATCGTGCACGCGCGTGCTATCCTGGTACCAAGCCAGTCTAGACCGCAGCACCGCATTCCCAAGCCGCGACACAGACAGCAGCGAGAGCAACAGCAGCACTATCAGCAGGAGCTCTCTCGGAGCCTCACGGCGGACAACTTCGGACAGCAACATCCAGTATGGTCTATCGCGGTCGTTCCGCGACTGGGTGTCGATCCCGTCGATCACCGTCGGAGCCTACACACTTGAACCGGGCCAATCACGGCGCATGATTGCGCAGTTGATCCTGGCAGAGATAGATAAGGTTAAGGAGGTCTTGGTGGCGTTTAATCGCAGTTATTGTCGCCAGAATAGGATGTTTGGTGAGGATGAAGAGAAAGGGCTGCATATGGCGTTGGAGGCCTATCTCCGGAATCAAATGAAGGCCGTGGCTCTTACGGCGCGAGAGCAGTTAAGCAATTGAGCAGGCACCTCTTTCCTTTTTCTGCATTTGTTCCATTGTGATGACGTGAGACGACGATATGGCATTCTACTAGCATGATTTACACGGGAGGTCAGATTTGTGTTTCGGCTCTTTTTTTTCTACAGTACTAGAGTGTGCCTTGGTGGGCACACTAGCCCAAAGTTTGTATTTCCAAAGAAAACAGAGCAGATAAAGAACCATGAATGAATGGATTTAATTCTATGGAGCAATAGAGGATGGGGGAGGAGGAGAGAAGGACAAGGGAGACCACATGATCCATACTGGACTTGGTATTTGGAAAAAATTACAGAATACAGTATAATAACGACAGAAATGCAAGTATCTAGCTATTAATTTCATTCAATTAAGGTTCAAAGTCTGGGCCGAGAGACGAAATCCGTGTTACATGAGAACGTGTCCTTGCATACCCCTTTGCAGCTTCTACAAAGAATGGCAACTCGGGCCCGAGCTCGGTCCCGAGAGGTCCCGCATGATGCATGCATCCCCGGCCAAACCCAGGTAATTGTTTTTAGCCTGTCTAGAACATCTAGAACACGAGCTGACAATTGATAGTAAATACAATTATCTCGCTTTCGGCGGAGTTTCGAAAATGCGTATGTACCTAGATACCAGCCTTCATTAGCGCCCAAAGATTAGGAAATTAGGGTTCGGGCCTCCGGACTATTAATGTACCAAGGTCCAACTTAGATATATCCTTACGTACTGAATAAATGATTCTTTGTTCTCTCAAATACATGATCTGAATTAGGTCCCTATCAACATTGGGCCCCGGTTTAATCATGGATGTGGCCCAATTGAGTATAGTCAATGCCTCGGTGTTCGGTGCCTCGGGGTCAGGTCTCGGGGTCAGGTATCGGGGCTAGCTCAGACATCCCACGGCGCCGAGGTCATGCTTGCAGTAAATATACAATCCCATGGCCTGGACCCCAGAATCTGCGCGGTAATCACGAAAAGCAAAATCTGATTTGTTCGATTATCTGTCGTGCAACTGATCGAATTATGTCCCATTTCGAAAAGGAGGTCCCCCGAGGACGCGGTGGAAGAGGAGCCCTCCATGGCGATCGTAACGACAAGGGCCCATCTCCCCTCGGAACAGCTATCTTTATCGCCCTCCGCGTCCTAGACCCAGTCCTGCAGTATGGGATCCTTCTCCCCGGTACTGCATCACTAGCAGCACCCATCCTGGGTCTGTTCGGCGGTACTCCCCTACCACTCGAAGCCGCCCCCCTTGTGTTGGGCCTCTCACCTTGGCGCCTGACTCTGCTTGGTATGTCAATACTCGGCAGTCTCAAGGGAATATTCTACTTGATCTATGTATCAGAGACGAAAATGCCCATTGCAACTGCTCTGCTGGTTGGAGTGTTTAAGGCGTTCTCAACAACCGTGAATTCCCTCATGTTCTGCGCTGCGGCGACATCAGCAACAACATCGTATGTGCCTGATAAAAGTACCGGCTGGCATCCTCTTCTCTCGGCTGCCTGTGCGATCTTCACATTGGGTATCACTGTGGAGACTGTTTCGGAGCTCCAGCGCAGATCTTTCAAAAAGGACCCCAGTGGACGGGGGCAGGGCAAGGTATATACTGGTGGATTATTCCGCATTGCGCGCCATATTAACTACGGTGGGTATACTGTTTGGAAGGCTGCTGCTGGTCTCGCGGCTTCAGGTTGGGGGTGGGGTGGACTTACGCTTTTGTGGTTGTTGGCTGAGTTCCGGAGGAGAGGCATTCCGGCTTTGGATGCTTATTGTGAGAAGAGGGTATGTTGAATCTGCCTACCTTTTAATGGGAAATTTTCAGTTATGCAGAGTGCTGACTTGAAACCAAACAGTATGGACAGGACTGGGATCTGTTCAAGCGGAGGACCCGGTGGAAGATGATCCCGTTTGTGTATTAATTCTGGTGTACAGTGGTGTTGGTCCAACACGAGTGACATGGTTTAGCCTTGGGATGGTTGGTACAATAAATCTGGCACTTTTCGCGCCATGGGTGAGTCGCTTCACTGCGAAATAGAGCCAAATGAAGATGTGATAGCTATCTCTGGGAATCAAAACGATGCAAAATATTCACGCTGTGCGGTAGTGCTCATCTTGGAATTATTGAGAGATGCAACAATAAATGGCTCAATGAAACCTATTTGGCATTATTTATGTGCAAGAACTCATGATCATCTTCGAGTGCCTTGTCGCTTCTTCTAGCATTCTCTAGGGTCCATGTAGATATTTGCTTTGTTTTCTAGTCAAAGGGCGAAACAAGAGATGGTATGTTGAAGGCAGCAGGATCGTATTTATCAAACTTAGACTTTAATAGAAAGCTAATACAAAATCGAACTATTCATTGCTGTCAATCAGCGGCTGAAGCCGTTCCATGAGCTCCTCGACGGTAATTCCCCCACCGATATTCAAAGAACGAGAAACAGTAGACCACCAATTTTGGTTCTGCTTCTCCAGCTGGCCCTCAGCATTCATGATCGGTGGCAATATCACCGCATCCGTCCCATGAATCACCCCGTCCATAACCACGATATCCGGCCGACTCACCTTCCACTCGTCATTAATCAAAATTATCCGTCGACTACCATCCGACTGTCGAGCAGAACTCGCAGAAATATTGCATCCGCGAGCCAGAGTAGGGAGGAAAAACTGGTTGGAGGCAGATTGCAGATCAAGAACGATCTGCTCCCCATTCTTGGCAGGGAAATGAACATCAGAGAACAAGGTCTCGTTTGCCACAATATGGTATGCAAGCAGCGCTTTCAGGTATGAGCGCCCTCCTGGGCCGAAGAGGAAGGCATTGACCTTCCGGCCTAGTTGCCAGAACGCAGTATCGGAAGGAGCGAATACCGTCTGCGCGGTGTGTGTTGATGTATCGTTGATTACCTCCGCTAGGCCGGTGTCGATTAGTCCTTGGCGGAATATCCCGAATTCAGGGGTGTATCGCAGCACGTCTGCGGTTGAGTCCGGCAGCATCAGCAGTCGATCCACGATGTGGAGATGACCGTTGACGGCGGGCTGCGACGCCAGCATTTTTGCGCGAAAATTGAAAGTCACGGCATCTGGATTGCTCTGAACGCTGATACGTTGCTGGTTTTTGAAGAAGATGTCGGCATTCACGAATGAGGAGACTGTGTTTTGACTGCGCAGTGCCTGTGGAGAAATGCCTCCTTTTCCCATGTGGTATCCGACGAGGAACTTCCAATAAAACCATGGGAGGTCGTATGGGAAGTCCTCCATGTCGAAGGCCTCGTCAATGGGTGCATAGACGGTGAGCTGGGCCTTGGGTGCTTGGAGACCACCGACAATGTCCTCGAATTCTCCCACCAACTTGGCGAATTTGGTTAAGTTACGATTGTTCTGGATCTGGGCCCAGAGAGTTAGGGGTGGTATCGGCGATTCATTGGCCTTCGGTTGAGAATTTGTTGCCACAGGCTGTGGTTTTTTCCATCCGGCCAAGTATGTCTGAGCAGCCAGGGCGACGGTCACAACGACTAGGGTCACCCGCGACACCTGGAAGAGAACTCGTGTAGTAAACGGCTTCATGGTCAATTTTGGGTCGTCTCAGAATGCCACAGTGTCTCCATTTGTTTATCTGTTGGTAGATCACTATTAATTTTCATCGGGGCTTACTCGGCTTAGGGCTTGTCCCGATCTGCATCCGATTGTCGGTGTTCCGTCGCGCGGTCACCAGCTTGTGAAGGTAAATACAAGCCCATTTTGTCTGTCTGACCCGTTCCATGATCGCTTTTTCATTTGTTTGTTGACGCATGTAAATATCATAATGGCTCATTGCGCCAGTTGGAGGGCGTTGTGCGCAGTCTTGTTGCCTGGCCTCATTGCAGCAAAGCTCGTCCGTGAAGAGATCACACTGACATGGGATCTGGGGGCTCCAAATGGGCACGCCAGGGAGATGATCAAGATGAACGATGAGTTTCCCGGCCCGTATCTTCTGTGGGACGAGGACGACGACATCGAGGTAAATCGAACAATACTTTGCTCTTCGTCATCTAGTAACTCATTCAAACTCTAGGTCATAGTTCACAACCGAATGCCGTTCAACTCGAGCATCCATTGGCACGGACTGATGTAAGGCAGTCCTTTCAGAAATCCAGATTTTTCACTGACAATTCGTCAGGATGCAAGGCACACCTTGGTCTGATGGCGCGCCCGGTGCGACGCAGCTGCCCATCGAGCCCGACGAAATGTTCATCTATCGTTTCAAAGCCAGTCCCAGTGGCACTCATTGGTGAGACATAATACGAAGTTACAATCCATTTTCCTCTACTAACAGCTGCAGGTACCACGCTCATTCACGAACAACTTTATTAGATGGGCTGTATGGTGGGATCTTTATCCGGTGCATACCCGAAACAGGCAAACGGCCATGACCCCATGCTAAACTTGGAGTAGACCAAATCCAGACACTCCAGCTCCATGGAGCCTGATCTCCAATGACAAGTCGCACATTCAAGCAATGGCCAAGGCGGCCAGCAACCCCAATCCGGTGCTCGTATCAGACTGGACGCATGTCAAATCCTGGAATTATATGGAAGCCGAGGAGGCGTCCGGGTACACAATTTTGTATTTATTGCCCAAATTCCGGTATACGAGTTGAGAACTAACCATTGATGCAGCTGTGTGGATAGCATTTTGATCAATGGCAAGGGTAGCATTTATTGTCCCGGAGAGGAATATCTGGTCAACCACACCAGTACTTATATGAAATGGGCACTATATCCAGGCCATGTCAACGACAAGGGGTAAGCCACTCCCCCATTGGGGCTTTGCGATAGTCATCCTAACAATTTTAGGTGTTTCCCATTCATGAGATCTACCGAAGGCCCCTATCTTGGCCAGGGGAGACCAGAGACGATTCCGTTGCACCTTCAAAAAGGTTGTGTTCCTGCCACGGGTGACCAAGAAGTGATCCACGTAGACGCAACATCAAAATGGGCAAGCCTCAACTTCATCGGTGCCGCTACCTTCAAAACGATTATCTTCTCGATTGATGAGCATCCCATGTGGGTCTACGAGGTGGACGGGCACCGCATCGAGCCACGAAAAGTGGACACAGTCAAGATGTACGCCGGCGAGCGATACGCGGTTATGATCCAGTTAGATAAGAGGCCCAAAGACTACACGATACGCATAGCCGATAGTGGACTGACCCAAATCATCTCCTCCTTTGCCACATTGCGCTATGCGGGCAGCCCGGGTATTGACTCTGATAGCCACGGAGTCATTAACTATGGGGGACAGAATACCACAGCCGTGGTAACACTCGATCGGGACAATTTGCCGCCTTTCCCTCCACTCCAGCCAGCCACTCACTCAGACGAGCATTTCGTCCTTCATACTCACCGGTGGATGAGTCCCTGGCAATACACGCTTAGTGGTGGTGGAATGTGGCAAGAAGACCGCAGTGCATACACGCCCCTCCTCTACGACATTGAGCAACCAGACGCCCAGGACAAAGGCCTCATCATCCGCACTCGGAATGGATCGTGGGTCGATCTCATTGTCCAGGTTGGTTCGCAGCCAGGCCAGCCGCAGGAGTTCCCGCACATGATGCACAAACACACGGGCAAGATGTGGCAAGTTGGCGCGGGCGAGGGTATCTGGAACTATACTTCGGTAGACGAAGCGATGGCTGCCGAGCCGCACCGATTCAACCTTAAGAACCCTAACTACCGCGATACATTCGTCACTTCGTTTGATGGTCCTTCCTGGCTCGTGTTGCGATACCATTCCATCAATCCCGGTCCATGGCTCTTTCATTGTCATATTGAGACGCACCTGGCAGGAGGTATGGCTGTTGCCTTGTTGGATGGTGTTGATGCATGGCCGGAAATTCCACCAGAGTATGCGCCCCAGCAAAAGGGTCTGGTGCCTGGCCAGCCTGCCCCACGACCGGGAATATACCTCCCCTCGCCTGAGGTAAAATCAGATGTTTCTGGGGATGTAGAAGAGGCCATGGAACAGGCGGGGATAGAGATGGTCGAAACGTATCGGTATTCGAAAGTTTGGAACTCGGTATTGCGGAAGATGATTGGGTTTCTCGAAACCATCAAGTCTACTGGGTAGCAATGCTGTATCCTGGAGCATTTATATTAGAATGTTCTCTCCAAATTTTGTTTTCAAACGATCTGCATCGTGGCATAAATTCGAGGAATTAATGACTTCAATTACATCTTCAAACATTATTGCAACATGAAACTCAGAAAAGAAAGAGTTTAACGAATCCCTGAAACTCCATGTTGAATCCACAGCGACTTAGTATCTGGTTCCTTCTAAATCTCTTTTGGATAACTACAATTCACTCAAGATATCTTCACCACCCCAATGCTCCTGTTCCTTGGATGCGACAGTTGAGGGCTTCGCGACACTAACCTAGACTCTCACAAAATTGTCAGACGTGACTTTGCTTGCCACACCGGGTCAGAGACGCAGATTGCAGCTTATTTGGCCCAATCCCTTCCCCGAACAGCCCCCCGACATGCAGCCCGACCCCCGAGAGCCGATCTTACCCCCAATACAGAGCGCCGAATGAATCAACCATGTCAAACCACTGGATATCGGTGATTATTAAGACCCTAACGTTAATTCTTCCGTTGATTTGTATTTCATCGAAGACATAAAACTCCGAGCCGGTGGCCTCGCGATTTCTATGCTATTGATCCCGTATGTGCTCAGTAAACCTTCCTGCATTCCCATTTTTGGAATACGCGCCGGGTAATCTACTAGCTACGGGGTCAAGATGACAGAACAGATTCCAACGGACGACAAGCCTCCTTCAGTGGCGGTTATTGGGCTAGGTAAGTCAATATGAAAGTAGACATGGACCCATCATGAACCTGTCTAATCTAATGACCGTCTCTGTCTCGATAAAGGTGCCCTAGGACTGGTTGCCATGAAGAATTTACTAGAAGTAGGCTTTGATGTCGTCGGCTTCGACAAACACCCGTATGTTGGAGGTTTATGGAATTACAATGAAAACAAGGACGCGATTTCCGTGCTGCCCAGTGCGTTATTCCCATGTTTACTCGGATTGCTTGGAGCCACAGAATCTTACTGAAAAAATAAATTTATAGGCACTGTGGCAAATGGATCGAAACATCGGGTAGGTCGACTTTGACAAAAATCCATGTCAAGTTATGAGCTGACCACACTAACGTGCCAGGGGTGTTTTACGGATTTTCCGTTTCCGGATGGTACGTTTGATAAGGAGCCTGTTTAATGTGGCAGACTATGCAATTATGGATGTTAATTATGCGACAGAGACACCGGATTTCCCGCCAGCGGCAGAGATGCATCGCTATCTTGTGTCGTATGCTGAGCACTTTGGTATTCTACCGCGAGCCCGTCTAAGCACGACTGTGCATCGTGCCGAGTGGAATCCAGATACGGCCCTGTGGGAGGTTGAGACGTCCACTGAGACAGAGCCGAAGACAGTTCAGTACTTTGACAAGGTTGTCTACTCGATGGGACCAGACCAGACGCCTAACATCCCCTCTGTTCCGGGATTAGAACTGTTTGGAGGCGAGGCGGTGCATTCTATCGAGTTCAAAAGGTACGTTCTTTCTGAATTGTTGCGGTGTTGGTTTAGTACTGACAAGACAGACCGGACGATTGGGCCGGCAAACGAGTACTTGTTGTCGGCTTTGGAAATACCGCGGCGGACGTGGCGTGTGAGCTTGCGGGAACGGCAGAGAAGGTTTATTTGTCCCATCGAAATGGAAGCATTGTAGTAAGATAGGCATTAACTGATCCCTTGAAGAATTTCCAATATCTAATGATCCGCAGCTCCCCCGATGGGTGGACAACAAGCCCGTGGACCACATCCGGACCTATCGCAAAGGAGTTTTCCTCGAGCAACTGTCTCGCTACGCACCCGGTATCTGGACCAAGCTCATGAACAAGGTAATTCTTGGTCTCCGGGACCGACTCTACGATCTAAAGCCAGAATGGGGATTTGATCCAGCGCCATCGGTGAACCAGGCGCGTCCCATCATTAGCGATTACTTGGTCGATTATCTGTCCCGTGAACGGATCACCTCCAAGCCACCCATCCAACAAGTCCTCGATTCCCAACGAGTCGAGTTCACTGACGGAACGATTGCCGACGTGGACGCCATTATCTGGTGCACCGGGTACACGGTCGACTACTCGATCCTAGGGAAGAGCGATCCCACAATCTACCGGGGCTCCGATATCCGCAGTGCGAACGGACGCAAGATCCCACGGTTATATCAAAATCTGCTTTCACTCGAGCATCCGGATTCGTTGGCTTTTATGGGTAATCTGTCATTTATGAACCCGGCCTTTCTCATGTTCGATCTGGCCACAATGGCACTAGGACAGGTTTGGTCGGGGCGTTCGCCTCTTCCGCCACGCGAGGAGATGATCAAGGCCGTCGACAAGCAGCATCAGTGGCTCGCTGACTTGGCCACTAAAGGAGCTGTGACGCCGGGTCTCGTCAAGGGGGCGGACTGGCTGGATTGGGTCGAAGAGACTGCGGGACTGGGCATGAAGGAGAACCTCGGGTATGGGATTCAAGGGTGGTATTTCTGGCTGTCAAATCGTCCGCTCTGTAACTTGCTCATGGATGGTCTGCTCTTGCCTTTCCATTACCGGTTGTTTGAGGGGAAACGGAAGCAATGGGAGGGCGCCGAGGAGGCCATTTTGAAAGTCAACGAGGACTTGCGAATCAAGAACAAGACCAAGAAGTGGCAGTAGCGGTTCGAGGGCTTACTTTGTCTTTGATGTAGCATTGGCCAATTGAGACATACCGTTAGATTTGCATTAACAAATTTACTTTTACCCAATTCATTATACTCACCACCATGTTATTCCTGTCGGGCTTCTCAGTCGGGAATCGGGGTTCCTCTCCGTCTTGTTGAGTAAAATATATAAATGATACGGGAATCCAATAATAGCAGCGCAGCAAAGACACCTAACAAATCTATATTGACTAATATCTATTTGCTATGGCCGAAACAGCACCTCGAAAAGTCGTGATTGTGGGCGGAGGAGTTGCGGGAATCTCTCTGGCACACTATCTGCTACGACACACTCTGCCAGATCTGACTGAACGTATTGGGGAATTATACCATCTCACACTGGTTTCACCGTCATCGCATTTCTACTGGAAAGTGGCCGCGCCACGAGCATTGGTGGACACGAACCAAGCCCCCACACCCTTTGTTGCAATCGCAGATGGATTCCAGGAGTATCCCTCATCACAATTTACCTTTCTCCAGGCAGAGGCAACTCACCTCAATGAGAAGGCTCGAATTCTTCATGTTCGATCGCCGAAGACCAACGAAATCGTCCCAGTGGAATATCTTTCCCTTGTCGTTACCACAGGGACGACCTCTCACAGTCCCTTGTTCTCCCTAGCAGGCCCGCATACCCAGACCCAGCACGCGCTTGGACAGATGCAGATTCGCTTACGCGACGCTAAATCCATCCTGGTGGCGGGTGGAGGGCCGACGGGCGTTGAAACAGCAGGGGAGCTCGGGGCGATGAGCGATTACTGGCCCGGCCCAAAGAAATCCATCACCCTGCTATCGAGGAATGATCGCCTGCTTTCCCATGCCAGCCCCGGAAGCTCTGCGACAGCCGAGCACATGCTTGCGCAATTGGGGGTCACAGTCAACCATGCAGTTCGCATCACATCAGCAGTTCAGCAGGAGGGTCAATCCTCTTGGGAGATAACGCTAAGCGATTACTCCACCCGAGCAGTTGATGTCTACATTGATGCGACGGGCAGCATCCCCAATACTGCATTCTTGCCGTTGGCGTGGCTCGATGCCAAGGGCTACGTCAAGACCGACAGGTTTAGCCTACGTGTCGAAGACACAGTCGGGGTCTACTCCATGGGATCAGTTACTTCTTTCACTAATGGGAGCTTCTTCGACGCCATCGAGCCTGTTCGGCCCCTCGCTGATAGTTTTCGGGACGACCATTTGGCGATGAACCCCGATGCATCCCGTCAAAGTCAGTCCTGGTGGGAGAGTCTGTTTGGTCGTCGGACGAGAACCTATCAGCAAAAAACCTCACTAACGCAGTTTGTTGCTGTGGGGAGAAATGGTGGCGTCGGGGAACTCGGGGGATGGCGAGTACCAAGTGCGTTGGTGTACAAGGCTAAGGCAAAGACATTGATGGTAGAGAAGATGAGCCCGATTGTGTACGGGCAGGATTTCCATCAGGCTTAGCTGCTGTTCGGGAGATTGGATTAATCATCATCTCAATTGTTTTACATGGTGCATCCCGATGTTTGATCGGGTCATCGTAGATTAGGGCTTTTGTCGGGCCTCGTAATACTTCCCGATCTCAACCCCGAGTCCTCCCCCAACTATAATCCAACTTTTGATTGAATTCATGTCAGAGTCATGAGATCATGTAGTATTGCTTGGTCGTTCACCATGCGCTCCTCCGCTTTAATTTTCAGCAGGGCACAGGTCTAGAGAATCCTTGTTTTGCTATTGTGTCTTCCTCTTTTACCCGAATTCTATAGATATTCAGTTTAGTGCATTCTCCTTTTAACTATTCTGTCCATCGCTCGGAGTATTACAGAAAACAACGGGTATAGAGATTTAATAAGATAGTACTAGTTAAATGCCAGGAGTGGTTTATAGAGGACTGCCCTACGGCGAGAGAGGGTAAGGTATTGTACGAAATATACCAACTGGAATATCGTTGATGCCTCAGGTTGACCATCCTTCTGACGACATGCGGGCTCAACATTCTAAGAAAAATCACATGAAAATGCATATCCACCCACTACTATTCATTGCTTAAACTAGAGGAAAGACGAGGTACAAAGCACTTTCGAATAATCAGTCAAGACCAACAGTAAGGATCGACATGACACTCCCCCGAGGCTGTGCAACGTCCACCAGCCGCAACCGCTCATCCGCAAGACTCAACATATGCGTCCAATCATCTAGATCCCTTTCACAGCTATTGAAAACCTGCAGCATGGTCATATCGCGAACGCGGAGGAGTCGCTCCTTTGTCGAGGCCACGGACCCTGGACGCGGCAAGACCGAGTCCATGATGAGGATACGCGACCCCGGACGCAGCGCGACGACCAGCTGCTTCAGGATGCGGACAGCATCTGGTGTGGCCCAGTCGTGTAGAATCATGCGAAGCAGGTAGATGTCGGCCCCAATGACCGGTTGCGGCTGGAAGAAATCATGGGCCTGGAAGTGGACGCGCGACGCCAGATCGGGACTCAGCGTGGCGGCCCCTTCGTTAACATTCTCAAGGAGATCCTGAACGGTCACATCAAGTCCCGGGAAGGCTTTTGCGAGCGCTGTGCCTGCGTTGCCTGATGAACCTCCGACCTAGTTATTTGTCAGTGTTTAGCCATCTACCCGGGGAAAGAAGCCTACATCCACAATCTTCGCGGATCCCAGTCCCGCCCAGTCGAACCCAGTTAGCAAATGGTCCAGTTTGGTACCCTCGCTGCTGGTCACATTTTTCATGTAACCCGCAAATTGCCGGGTCCGATCGGGCAACGTCGCCAAGTGATCGAAAAAGGGCAGTTCCGTGTCAAAGGCAACGTTGTAGGCCGTCTCCGTGCGTGCCTGGCTAGTGGGCCATCTTTTCGTGGCGGCCACAAGATGCAACGCGGCCGGTACTGACGCCTCACACATGAACTCGGCCCAGTCGTTCATACTCTGGTTGGTCACGAACTGTGCCGACGTCGCCGTGTGCGCGATGCTTCCCGGTTGAGGCTCGTGCAAGATATGACTTGTCATTGCCATGCGCGCCACTGCCTTCAGTGTCCGCTCTGGGACACCTGCATCCGCCGCCAGCGAGGCATAGGAAATAGATCCGATGAGGGGGACCCGTGAAAGGATGCCGAAATGAACCAGCCAGTGCAGACATGATAGATGTTGGTACTATGATAACACGGTTAGTCATTGATGTGAGATGATAAATTTAACTTATTGAGAACAAAGGCTAACGTACATGCACTGCCAGGTTGGGTAGGTACTCGCTGGGGCCGGATGCTAACTGGAACATCTTCATCGATGCATCCAACAGCGCCTCGCGTGCCGCCTGGATTTCGCCTGGGGCGGAGGCTGGCACAGTCTTGGGGGCAGCATCGCGCTCGAAAGACGGAATAGGATGACCTTCAGAGTGCAAGAAGGTGCTCAAGACCTGAGCATTGGTCGAAATGGAACTCGCTATCTCGTTCAAGAGCTCGTCCTTGACAGCAAGCCCTGTCTTAACCTCTTCCGAACCCTCTTGGGATACTGGGGAGGGGAGACCGTTGTGGATCAATGGAGACATGGCACGAGCAAAGAGACTATACAGGTAAGAGATCATGTTTACAAAGTCTCATTTGCCACAGGCAATGCTTTCTTTTCAAAACCAACATCATGGATGAAGTTCGGAGCAAGACCGGGCTTCGATTAGCGGCAGTTCGGTCAGCACGTCGCAGTTCCGATTGACCAGATCTGACCCGATCATCTTCTGTCGTTCCCTATAGGTCTCGCAGATGGCTTTCCCGATGTACATCTATGCTGACCCGATCGGATCGTATTATCGTTGCATGCGCTTGCATGCGTCTCGGGGCATGCACTTATACGGCAGTTTGTGGTATTTGATAAAGACTTTTCATTTTAAAAAGGCACAACAAGACCCACGAAAGGAAGACGGAACGGAATGTGCAATTACATCCCTCAAAGATCTTGAAATAAAGATACCACTATGGCACGCGTTCAGCAGATCATCTTGTTCGGAGACCAAACCGATGACTTCTTGTCGCTCCGGCGTCTTCTCTCCCCCAATCAAGCTCCTCCTCTCTTAGAACCCTTCCTTAATAATGCCATACGCGGGCTGCGAGCAGAGATCGGCTCCCTGCCACTTCAGGACCGCCAGCAATACCCCCATTTCTCCACGGTGGCCAGCATCCTGGATTGGAGGAGCCATCAGCAGAAAGCCTACCCAGCCATTGATAGTGCCCTGACTTGCATAAACCAGCTGGCCCAATTTATTGAGTAAGCTCCTCCTCTTGCCACTACTAGTGAGGGTAGTACATATCATTCTAACAATGCCTTACCTGCAGAGCTCAAAGCATCACCAACACCTATATCAGCCCTTCAAATACCATCATCGGCGGCCTGTGTCTTGGGTCTCTATCCGCTGCGGCCGTGAGTAGTTGCCAGTCGATCTCCCAGTTGCTTGATCTGGGGACGCAGACCATTCAGGTGGCCTTCCGGACAGGACTGCACGTCTCGCGAGTTGGACGGGCCATTGATCAATCTTCCACGGATCCATGGTCTCTAGTGGTTGCCACACGATCACCGGACGACATTTTGCATCGCATTGATCGATTCACAGAAACCCAGGTTGGTGATGGGACTTTCCGATTCATGCAGGAGTGAAATATAGAAACACTGACAACGGTCAGCATCTGCCTTCGCACACTCGGCCCTATATCAGTGCTTATCTGTCACACGCTGTGACTATCAGTGGGCCGCCCACCAGCCTATCCAGCCTGCAAAAGTCCCCCGAGTTTGCTACCCTTTCCCCTCGGACTATCCCCATCTTTGCTCCCTATCATTCCGCTTTCCTCTTCGCCTCGGCCGACTTTGATGCTATCCTGGAAGGCATTTTCTCCGCCGGGAATACGATACCCTCAAGCGATATTCCGTTCATCTCTAGTACGAGTGGCCGGCCAGTCCAGGGAACGGGTGTACGTTCCCGATTCGAATCGGCTCTGGCCCAGATCCTCTTGGAGACCTTGCGTTGGCAGAGCCTTGTCAATGGAATGATCGCGGCTCTCCCCGCACTTGATACCCCTGATTGCCCCAAGTTTCACGTCCAGTCCTTTGGAAGTACCGCGGGGCCTCGACTGGCTGAGGCGATCGAATCAGCCACCAGTTTCACCCGGCATCAACCTTCCCCTAGTCTTGGTCCGACACCAGTACGCCCGGGGCAAGCTGACTGGTCCAAGATTGCTATCATTGGGTATTCCGGTCGATACCCCCATGCCGAGTGCAACGAGGAGTTTTGGGATCTGCTCATCCGGGGGCTCGACGTGCACGAGGTTGTGCCGGCTTTGCACTGGGACGCACGAACCCATGTCGCTAAGCCGGGACAGGCGAGGAAGAACACGAGTGCCACACCGTTTGGATGTTGGTTGCAGAATCCGGCAGCGTTTGATGCCCGCTTCTTCAATCTATCCCCACGTGAGGCGCCCCAAGTTGACCCGGCGCAGCGCATCGCCCTGATGACGGCGTACGAAGCCATGGAGCGTGCGGGCATGGTGCCCAACGCGACTACGTCCACGGCCAAGGACCGCGTCGGTGTCTGGTATGGTGTCACGTCTAACGACTGGATGGAGACTAACACCGCGCAAAACATCGATACTTACTTTATTCCCGGCGGCAACCGCGCGTTTATCCCCGGCCGGCTGAACTACTGCTTCAAGTTCAGTGGCCCTAGCTACGCGGTCGACACGGCGTGTTCGTCCAGTCTGGCGGCCATCCATCTCGCTTGTAATGCGCTGTGGCGCGGCGAGGTTGACACGGCCATCGCTGGCGGCACCAACATTCTCACCAACCCCGACTTTACGGCCGGACTGGACCGTGGTCACTTCCTGTCCCGGACGGGCAACTGCAAGACGTTTGATGACAGCGCTGATGGGTACTGCCGTGGCGAGGGTGTTGGTACCGTCATCCTGAAACGCCTCGACGACGCCCTGGCCGACCGCGATCCCATCTGCGGCGTCATCTTGAGCGCAGGCACCAACCACTCCGCCGAGGCCGAGTCCATCACCCGTCCGCATTCCGGTGCGCAGCAGGACCTCATCCACAGTCTGCTCCGCACCGCCGGAGTGTCGCCTTACAGCGTCAGCTATGCCGAGATGCATGGCACCGGAACACAAGCCGGGGATGCAGGGGAGATGAACTCGGTCTTGACGACTTTGGCTCCACCTTCTGTTCCCTATCGTACTCAGGATCAGCCGCTGTATCTGGGTTCGGCCAAGGCCAATATTGGTCACGGAGAGGCCGCCTCGGGAGTATCGAGTCTGATCAAGGTCATGCTGATGATGGAACACAATGCCATCGCTCCACACTGCGGCATTAAAACCCGAATTAATCGCAAGTTCCCGACCGATTTAGAGGATCGCAATGTCCACATCGCCAAGACACCCACAGCATGGACTTCGCAGCATGGCGAGCCCCGTCGCGTG